TATATTATCATCATTCTCGCTTGGCGATTGATTTTGAACCCAATTTTCATTAAATTCATTTTCGTCCTCATATTCATTGTTTTCAGTCTAGATGTTATCTTCATTGTTATCAATCTGAATATTATCACAGTCTTCAATTTCAACGTCATCAGGAATATTTTTTTCATATCGAATTCTTTGAGACCAAAGCTGATCTAAAAGAATACAATTGCTACGAGGCTCATAACCAAAAACCAACTCAAATAGTCTTTTATTAGTAGCACAATATACAGATAAATTCATTGAATAAATTACAGTTGCCAAGCCAACTGTCTAACATAAATCATCATTTTCATTTTGTCGACCCTTAAGCCACTTTCTAAGTTTGTCCTTTAATACAAAATTTGCCCTCTCTACAAAACCTTGGGTTTGCGGCCTTCTCGGCTTTCCATAGATTATTTTAAGATTTGGCCAGAGTTTTGAGAGATTGTTAATAATATCTGCAGTGAACTCACGCCCATTATCACTTTAAAGAAAGATCGGTGGTCCAAATACAGTAAAGATGTCAAACAAGAATACAGCTACCTTTGCTGTACATTTATCAGTAAGAATGCGGCCCCAGGAAAAACATAAGAAATAATCTCTAGCATGTGCTATCTATTTAAATTCACCATCTTTTCTAGTTCGCATATCTATAAGATTAATCTAGTAAAAAAAAAAGTTATTTATTAATTTTTTTTTAATTAAAAAAAAAAAAAATTATTTTTTTTTAAAAAAAAAAACCTTTTTTTAAAAAAAAAATCATCTCATACCTGAAGCCGTTGCATAAAAAACTTGCTAATAATAGGTCTTATAGCTAAAGGTTTGCTAGATAATCTGCGTGTTTTACATGTTTTACATATTTCAACAAATTTATCAACCAAGCATCTTTTTATACTATGATATTTATCTGATACTTGTTTATAAGTAGCTCTTGTGCCCATGTCCAACAGCTAGATGCTTCTCTGCGATAATATAGTACAATCTCTCTTTTAAAGCTACAGGTTTCCAATTATTTAATGATTTCTCTTTATGCATTAATGTTATAATTCCACCGATCCTTTGAGATGAATAGTTATTTTTAACATAGTGACGTATATTAGGATTTGAAATAGAAGTATTTTTAGGGTTATTTAAAATCTGCAAATATTCATTAGCAATATCCTCTGTAATTAATGCTTTTGATTTTTTTTTTTCGCTTAATGATAGTAAGTATTCATCTATAATTTCATTAAATGTTTGGTATGATAAAAAGTATATTCGTTAGGTGAATCCATCAGAAAAAAAAAATTTTAAAAAAATTTTTTTTATAGTTAATTTTTAAACTCCGACTATTGTGCTATTATATAAAATTTTCTTTATAATAAATATGTATTAATAATATAATTTTATAAAGTTAATTTTATAGTAAAGTTAACTTTATAATAATTAATTTTATAGTAAACTTTATAATAAATTAGTAGTACTTAGAAGCTTTCAAAATTTTCTTATAAAATTGTTTTATACTAAACTTTATAATAAATTTTTTTTAAAAAAATTTATTATACATAGTAAATTTGTTATATAGTATTAAAAAAATTAAAACCGATTGTTAATTGATTATTATTTATTACTTTTTAAAAATATAAATATGATCTGCAATTTGCATATAGGGCAAGATTAATAGCCCAAAATTAAATTGTCATCTGGGCTACCCCGATTGACAATCAGGCTGATTGTTATTTGGGGTACAGCATATATAAAAAAGTTATCAAAAAGATTTTTATATAGTTGCAAAAAGAATCAGTTTTATATAATATAAAAGCTGCTTATTTTAATTAATGCAGTCTTGTATTAAAGTTTAGCTGTAGAGTCTATAATCTATTTAACAAAATTTCTTGTACAACTACTATAAATATAGAGTTTAAAACTAAGAACCTTATACTTTAATTGTATCTGCAGTATTTAACTATTAAGGTTTTTATACTCCTACTATATCTGCAGAGTTTAACTAATTAGACTTTTATACTGCTACTATAGCCTCAAAGCTAATTGCTACAAAAACAAGATATTTGCAGCTATACAGTCTGATTTTGCTTATTAATATATTTTACTAAACAAACTAGCCACCAAGCACTAGCCTATTATTAAGTTACTGCAAAAAAGAAAATAGAAGTGATAATAAAGCCATCTTCTTGTAAAGTAAATAATAGCAAAGAGAAAGACAATCTCTCTCTATACCCTTAAATATATTGTATTTACAAATACTTTCTTTTATCTTCTAATAATAGTTCATTATTTAACAATTATATATGATTATAATCTAACTAAGAAAAATTTGAGACAATATAGCAATTATTATAAAAACAGTCTATAAAAAGCTAAAGCAACAAATTAGTAGTTATGTATAAGAATTCTAATTTTTAGATTTAGTATTATGAGAAATTGTAATCTGCACAAACATATAATCTAATTAGCTTTGAGATTTTGCTTTTAATTTAGATATTAGTAAAACTATATACTCATATTTCTGATATACTTATATTTCTACTTCTTTTATAATATTTGTTAAAAATATAGTTTGTTTATTGAACTTTTAGCTATTGGTCTTTGTTATATAACTTCTGGTTTTCAATATCTTAACTTTAGTTAATATAGTATTTATACTAGTTATTTTAACTTTGTCTTATTAACTTTTATATAGATATAATTAGAGTACTAATTTAGTATACTTAGATATACAATATAAATTACTACTTTTTATATATTTAATAGTTCTTTATAACTAGTTATTTTACAGTACTAAAAGTATTTTTAATTCTAATAAAAGTCAATTCTTTGCTACAAATTATTTTTATATTTACTATTTTTCTTACTATTCTAGTTTTAGTTATTATAGTATTACACTTTTAATTAAATTTTGTATTAACAATTTTTGGTTAGAACTTATATATACAATCTAATGATTACTTTTCTAAATAATTACTTTACAAGTTGGGTATAATAATATTGATATTGTCTAAACTGGTAATATTAAAATATTGATATCACTATTGTTATATATAATGCCTATACTTTACAAATAGATCTTTTTTTTGAGAATTTTTATTCTATATTCATACTTGTACTTGGACTTTCACAAAACTTCATATTTAATTATAGCTCTATTAGATTACAGCAGCAAATTAAAAATTTATAACTAGTCTGATTCGGACTATTGATCTTATCTATAGGTTTGTAAGCTTAATCAATAAACTATAAGATCTAAACTCTATAAAGTTTGTTGTTTATTATAATTTTAACCCAACTCTAGTATAAATATAAAACTTTATAAAACAGAAATATGAAGATTATAGCCTGTAAAAAAAAAACAAAAGTTATAACCTGTAAATTGTAGTAATTTTCTTTTATTAATATGTAATTTTTTGCTACTAGTCTCTACAATATATATTTTAAAATATTCTAACTCTCTTTCTAGTAAAGCAAATTTAGCTTTATAATTTGTAAAAGACATATAAATACTTTAATTTTAAAATTATTTAATATTAATATATAAAATTTTTATAGATCACTATAACTTAATTATTTAAATAACTATTAAAATTTATTAATTTATAATTTTGCTACATTAATAAAATAAATTAAAAATGTTTTAACATAGTTTTAAAACTATTCTATTTATATATTAACTATATATTATAGAATTAAAGTTGCTATACTATAGTAGAAGCTAGAATATTTTAGAAATACTCAATTTTTATTATAAAATTACTATTTGAATAGATTGATCAAAAATCTTATATAATAGGCTAATTATATAGTTTGTACTATAATAGTAAATTATTTAATATCTAATACTTCAATCAAATGTGTTAGTAAGATTTTAATTGCTTTAAGTTTTTTTAATAATTTTCATATTATATAATGTGGTATTTAAATATTTATTTTATTAAATTATATGCAGTAGATATTTAATATTGTCAATTTAAGATTAAATTTATGCCTTTTGAGTATAATAAAATATAATAAAATATATTCATTAAGAATATTTTTTATTTTATTTTTAGTTTTATTATATATTTTTTTAATTAATTTTTATTGTTTTGCTTGATATATATCTAGTTAGATAATTTTTTCAAATAGTTTATTTATAAATATAAGTATAATATATCATTTTCTGTATAAATAGTTCTAATTTTATGTAGTAAAAAAACAATCTGGCTTTATTTAATTTATTTATTTTGATTTAAAACAAGTCTAAAATTTCATTGCCATTTAGCTATATTACTACTGTTTATTACTGTATACAGTATTTTTCAAAATAATATTCTTTGATTAAAATCTAGTCTTACTTACCACCTATCTGGTTTAATTTTTAAATAGTATTTAAAGAATAACTATATGAATTTATTACTATTTGTATAATATATTTTACAAATATAAAATCTGGTTTCTTATATAGTACTTATAAATTCTATTTAATTTAAAAATAAGGTTCTTGAATAAGATATTGAGTATAGTATATAGTAGCAAATAGTAATTAGCTTCTGTGTATTACTAGATACAGTATTAAGAAAGTAGTAATAATAAAAAAATTTTAAAAATTTTTATTTATAAGAATTTATAGACATCTCTCGTAGAGATATATAAATTATATATCTTACATTTTGATTAATAAAAAACTACATATATCATGTGATAGCACAGATGAAATATATTGTAGATTAGCAGCATCGGCTAGACCTCGACTAAACCTCAATATGTACAAATATATATTGTATCACTAATACATACAGCATATGCTCTTACGCCCTTATTATATAATATATCTGGCTGCAATTTTATATAAGCATTAAAATATGTTTAATCTTAGTATAAGTATATACGTACATATGTATTTAAATTTTTTTTTTCAAATAATTTAACCAATTAAGGTTCTTGCATAAAATATATAATATATAATAATTACGTAGTAATAGTAAATTTATATATACATATATATATATCTAATATAAAGAAAAATTTTTTACACCCACCCAACTTTTAAACTTAAAACTTATACTTACAAAGATCTTATAAAAAGTAACTTGCAAACCTTTTTTATGAAGTTTTACAAAAACTGAGCCTTCCAGTATTAAAGAAGAGTTAAGCTAAACAACAAAGGTATATTAAAATTTTTGTAAAAAAAGTTAAGCTAAACAACAAACATATATTAGAATTCTACGTACATATATACATACTATATTAGATTTTATATTTAAAAGTGAATTAATTTGCATTATAAAAAAGAGGTACGAAATTTTACTGACTATTTTTTTACAGAAATTTTTAGAACTGCATAAACTTTAAAAAAAACAGTAAAGTCTGCAAAGAAATCAGAAGTAACAATTTACAAGCAAAAATGAAGAATTTTATACAAATAATATATTTTAGTCATGGTTTATACTACAAGTATACAAGAACAGCTTCATAATAGTAGGTATTAGGTGTTAGTAACTTGATATGATTATAGTATAGAAATCTAATAATGCTTTTAAAATTTTTGAGAAATTACACAAAACTAATTCGCTATGATTAAAAAACCAACAAACCTATTAGTGTTGAAAGTACACAAGAACCTGGAAGCTCAGTAGAATCTGTAGAACCTGAAAGCCAAGTAGAATTTGTGATGAAATCCATAGAATCTAAAAGCTTGATAGATTCTATAAAACCTGAAAGCTCAATAGGATTCAAAAGCTAGTTAGAACCTGAAAGCTCAGTAGAATCTAAAAGCTCAATTGAGCTTAAAAGCTCAGTAAAACCTGAAAGCTCAATGGAACCTGAAAGTTCAGAGGAACATAAAAGCTTAGTGGAAACTAAAGATGAATTTTTTTAAAAAAGCAATGCTTATAACTCTCTTGAGGTTTTCAAATATGTAGTCAATTAATATTCTGAAGCAAAGAGATTCAAAGTTATTTATAATAAA